CTTAGGCCAGGAGGATGACAGCTCTAAAGTACAGCATCCTCCTCTCCGACGGCAGTGAGATCCGAAAGGCGAAGGGTGTGCCTGGGAGCGTTCGAGGCGCCACCCGGCACGAGGACTACTTGAAGATCCACGAGGAGAACTCCGCGAGGAGCGACTTCTTCACGCAGATGCGACCAGGTCTTTATCGTGGAGCAGCAGAAGAAGACCTTCTCCGTCCTGAACGATAAAGTTTAAAGCGTTTCAGCTGACGAAAGAGTTCTGCAGACCCCTGGGCCATTGGCGCAACGCCTACCTCGGCGTCTGGTTGCGCTTGCAAGGCAACGACGTGCTCTTGGAGCTGATCTTTTTGAGTTCCTGAAGGGCCCCACGCCGAAGAGGAAGCCGGAGTGGGGCGATCTGGCGAAGTCACTTTTGCGCTGATGCATGAGTTTTGATGCGATCGCTACCTGATCGCTTGGACAGGGCCTGCAGGCACTTTTAGAAACCAGTATCAGTAGCGGCCTCTTTGAGTGTGCATAGCTTACCGCGGTAGGATGGCAGTTTGGAGAACCACACCTGCTCAGATCGGGCTTCGTGCGCGGTTCAGCGTACAGTTGCAGTTCCTTCGCGGAGGGCAGACAGTCAGTGATATACAACAGTATTCAAGCACAAACAGTTCTTAGGCACAACACTGCGCGTCTGCCCCTCAAGAGAGCTCGTCTGGAACAGAAGTAAGTGAACAAAAGTCTCTTGCGATCGCGGCTGTTAACACGACTTCAGCACGTTTTTTACTTGCGCTTTCCCTCCCGGCGGCAGGTGCTCATCACGCTCTTCACTCCGAGGCACGGGTGTCGTGAGCTGCTTTCAGACGCCTCGAGTGTGCTGCGTCTCAGTCTTTTGGCACGTTTTGTACTGCTTGTTGTGGCTGCACTTAATAGGACAGGCGCCTCTCTCTATGGAGGGTATCCCCAAACCCCACTATGTTATGGATACGAGCCTTGAAGTTCGATCCCCCTCAGAATTCCGAAATTTCGAGAGTGTCTAAAGTGAAGCTCTGAAGCTCTGGGGCTCACGATTTTAGGGGCTCTAAGAAGCTTGCAAAAGAGCTAGAGACCCAATATGTGTGTAGTATAGGGGGCACTATTGGGATCATTCGACAGACGCTTTATGGTGTATCCAAGCCGAATCAACGAAGCCAGGGCTAAAGATCAGTTTGATTCGGGTTCAACTTGGAGTCATCATGGAGTCATCATGGATTCATCTTGGAGTCATCATGGATTCATAATGGATTCATCATGAGTCATCATGGATTCATCATGGAGTCATCATGGATTCATCATGGATCTTGGAATCGGGGTTTCCCGAGACCTCCGCGGGGGAAAGCCCGAGGCCGTTTCGACCTCATCGGGATAGAGGGAAAAAGCCCGTAAACAAGGCACGGAGATATGCCAAATAGAGATACGCCAAATACTTCCTACTCTTTCTGTGGGTGGATAACACTCCGCTTTACCGGAAAGTCTCGAATGTTGCCAGGAACAGAGTCTTTTGGACAGCAGTTGTAAATAAGCCCAGCCGCAAAACTCATAAGCGCATCCTCTGAAAGTGTGGGTGCAGACGGGGCCAGACCTTGGGCCCTGCGCTTGCAAAAAAAGCCCGCGTAGACTTCAAATTACGTGCTTGATGTGTGTGTTCCTCGTCTTGCCTGTCCCAGCTTGTGGGTGAGTGGCTTCAACTTGCTGGAACACGACGCGGAATTTGGTAACCGTATACAAGTAGCCAGGAGGCAAGCCGCACTGTTCAACACCATTGTAAGCCGCAACAATCAGTACTGGTTCCGACTCTAGCTAAGGCAACGCCAATCAAGCGAAGTTTTGTAGTCCTTCAAATGGGCCTGTCGTTGGCTTTGCATGGCGCTGTGCTACTTCGACATGCTAGAGGCCTCGCCGAGCGCAGATACAAGGGGTCATGCATAGGGTTCGAGATTTAGGATGTCGAACGAAGGAATGAGTCCGGAATATTACGGGGGGGGGGGGGGAGCATCTTGGGATTTGGAAGTCTGGCATCGAAGGTTTGTGAAAGCGACAGCTTCAGTTTCACCCTCAGCATCAAAGCGGAAACGCAAGAACAAAATGTGGACGCATGATGCATTCAAGCGACAGGAAGAACTTGCAATGCAATGTGAGTTCAAGGTGAAGGTGCTGCACCGCCCTGTCGGATGCTCAGCTGGGCTACAAATGTCGTGGGTGTACGAGCTTGTCTTCCAGTAGCTCGAGTAGCCGTTTCTTCATGCCAGTGCTTGTGTTCTCCACTTCAAACGTAGCATCGAAAATGGATTGGCACGGCATGCTTGTCGTTTTTGTGGGTTCCAGTGACAGTGACTGACGGACATGGATAGACTTTTCTTGCGATAGTTTGACCAGATCTTTCATTTACATGATTCAGGCAAGATGCCTGAGATGTAGCACCAGTACGTGTCCAGAAGACTGGGCGTACGTACGTATATTTCTAGTCGAAGCCGTGGCCGGGATCTCGGTCATGTTTCGCCTAGAATTCGACTTCGAGCATGTGGAGGGTGTGGAGTCTGTGCCGTATGTGCCATACGCATCTGATACCCGGAGGTCCTCAACCTTGTAGTTTCAATGCTTCTTGAAGATCCCTGCATGTTTACGGTCTTGCAGCTTGGAAGTGCAGGACTCCCCGAACATCTGGATCTAGACCTTTGTCAGTCAGTGAAACTGGCGAACTTTCCTGAACTCAGGTGCAGCCTCAGGCGGTCGAGTGCACGTGGCCACATTCGCCAGTCAGCTCGATCTGGGGATGCGCTTTGGATGAGCACGTGCTTTGTTTTTGACCAATCAAAAGTCCTTGCAGGAGCTGGGGCTACTTTTCCCATGTTAGGGTCAGGCCGTGTATTGTTGAGGCTCGAGAAGGCCGCCCAATAACATGCAGGAATAGGGATTCAAAAAGCTTAAAAGCAACAGCTGAAAACGTAGCGATGAAGGACATTGAAGCGACTTGACGGGTGTGTGTGTGTGTGTGAGAGAGAGAGAGAGAGTGTGTGTGTGTTTTTGTGTGCGGGTGCGTGCGGGTGCGTGCGTCTGCATGCGGCATGTGTGTTTGGTCTGTTTGAAAGAGTGAACACGCTGCCAACAGGTCTTCTTTCTTCGCGTCGGCGGCTGCCACGATTGGCCAGGCGCCGTTGGTTCCGCAAAGGTAAGCGGAGCATTTTGTAAACAGAAACAGGTCCGGTAAGGCTTTCCAGGCAGCAAGAAACGTGCTTGGCACTAGGTGACGGGGCATATAGAGCGACCCCTGCTCCAGAAATCACAGCGTGTCAACACAGGCAGCATTCTATCTCTCCACTTCCTCGGAGCCTTCAACCGCGATGCTGTCATCCTGTCGATCCAACGTTATGCGCAGGTGACGCTTCTGGACTACGGTCTGGGCGCCAATTGGGGCAACCTCACAATCAGGCCGGCTGCCAGCCATTGGGCTTTAACTTCTCGATGACGGGGCACGAATCACGTGCACTCAGCCCCGCGAGGCTTTAACATGTTAGAGCGGGCTCCGTTGAAGCAGCATCTCTGGGAGGCTCCATGCACTAAACCGATACCTCAGCCAGATGCTGCCTGCACAGCAGTGTGACTGGGTTGTCTTCGTGGACTGCTATGCGCCTGGGCTTCATTTGCATTCGGGACGGGTTCTTGTCGGCGTCGGTCTCTTTGGGGTCTGCCTGGAACTTGCTGGGTTGCCCGTCCCGGGCCAGAAGTCGAGGACAGTGTCATCATCGGCAAGGAGGCAGACATCTGCCTGCGGCTGGAGCAGCTTGGCTCTCACGTGGGAGGGGAAGCCTTGGCCCTGGCCGCCCTGGCCCTTCTGCAGCCTCTGAGGCGCCTGGAGGCCGACTCTGGGCGGTCGGTCTTCTTCGGCGCTGAGACCTGGAAAGGGGACCTTGCAACTCGGAGAGAGTTGGGGGACTTGAGAGGCGTCACTGTTTAGTTTTGCATGTGCTTGTCAGATGTCTTGTTGCGAAGCTTAGAGCTCTGAGTCGCAGGAGGTCATGGTCATTTCTGGTTTCAAGATTTCATGCATCTCCGAAGCTCAGGTGGAGGTGGCTTGTCGGCGCTGGCTCGGGCGGTTTGGGGTTGATTGAGGACCCAGGCAAGATGTGTCCCCAGTAGCTTAGGGGATGCAGGGAACAGGCTGTCCAAGACACATAGCAAAAGCAGCTCTAATCCTCGGAGGCTCCAGGCCGACCTTTCTCAAACACGCAAGCATAGGTCACATTCCTCGGCTGTGCTCGCCTGAAACGGTCAAAGGAGCAAGAGGCCCACGCCAAGCAAATGAACGTGAGTACCTTGGCCTCGGATAGTTCCGCAGGTTGGCCAGGTTTCAGGTGCAAGGCGACCCTGTGGCATCTTGCGGCCCAGGTCACGTCCGTAGCGTCTTCGGGATTGTGTCGCCGTGTGGAAATGTCATGCCGAACCTCAGACCCCTAAAGTCGTGAAGTTGAAGTTGCGTTCTTCCGAAGATCTCTGGACCCTCAAACGCCGCAGCTTGGCAGCCCAGACGGCCCTTGGCGCTTCCTTAACGCGGGGCTCATGGCTGGCCGGGTGTGGGCCCTGCGAGACTTTCTCTCCGCACCTCGGTAGAAGCTGGCAGAGTGAGACTTTTTCCATGTCCAATGCCGAGGTCTCACATGAACCGCGCTTGCCGAGGTGCCCATTCAAAAAGATGCTAACGATCAGGCCGGCTCTTGGGCTCCGAATCTCATAAGGCACAAGTTGCAAGAAGTTGCAAGTCTGAGAGTGCCACTGCGTTTCACGGAGTCCAGAGTCCTGCCGGACCATGGCTGGATTCGAGTTCCTTGATTGTTCGCAGGTTTTCGTTACCGAGGTCATGTTGTACCACAAGCCCCAGTTGGCCACCCTGGACAGCATTGTTTCGGGGCTGAGGGAACTTGATATGTGTGGACATAGTGGCAGAGATTTCCGAGAGCGACAAGTGTTTTCTCCAACCAGAGGTGTGATAGCCGTTTGCAGAGCCCAGAGCTCAAGTGTCAAAGATTTGCAGGCCCATGTTCGAAGCATAGTCTCAACAAGGTGAGACATCGCTTGCACTGCTGAGTTTCTGAACTGGTACTGAACCTCAGTTTGAACAGCTGAAATTGACCTTGAAGCCTTCCCCTGTCAAGGACTACTACAGCGAGCTGTTCTTGAATGCATACGGCTCCGAGCCTGCAGTAGAAGTGGATCGAGGGGTGGAGCCTAGGTTGGTCTTTACACATCTCGGAGGGGCAGAAGACACAAGAAGACTCTGATTTCGTGCTAGACAGCTCTCTTGTGGGCATGTGCAGAGAGGAGCGGTGCTTGGCCACCAGGCATCGAGGGCATCCTGGACGGCCCGTGGGCGGAGGAGTTTTGAGGGAATTGCACTTGAGTGAGTTATGCTTTCGGAAGTGGCCTTTTCTGCTTCTTTGATGCGGGGACGGTGTCTTTCTGCAAGTTCCTCTGGTTGCGGCCTGCCCTCGCGATTTCTGACTTGTGCGCACATCGACAAATTCAAGCTCTTCGATGCAGCTCTTTGCTCACTAGAGCCCCCGAGGAGTTGCTGCAACCAGCAGGATCTGTCGTCTTTGTGGAGGCGAGGAGACAGGAGAGAGGACAAAAGGGAGAGCGCTGTCAGCGGCCGTGCGCAGGCTGAAGGCCGCCGTTGGATCGAAAACAGGCGCATGCAAAGGGAGCGCTCTTTTTGGCACACCTTTTTCTTCTCGATGCTTTCTTGCTCCAGGGACGGAAAATGGTTTATTTTAACCCTTATCTGTGCCTTGTAATTCGTGTTGATCCGTGCCTTTTCTCTTTGTCTGTGTCGCAGCAACCTTTTACCGAAGACAAAATCCACTGAAGACTGAATGCAGCAGGAACCTTTTACCGAAGACGAAGACCGTAAGGAGGGAATCCAGCAGGAACTTTTTCCCGAAGACGAACACCCTAAGGAGTGAGTCCAACAGGAACCTTTCACCGAAGACGAAGACCCTAAGGAGTGAAACCAGCAGGAACCTTTTACCGAAGAAGAAAACCCTGAGCAGTGAATCCAGCAGTCTACGACCAGACCTGCCGCTCATGCGGTTTGATCAACCGGATGATCATTTACATGCCCAAGGATGGCAAACGAGTCCGCAGAAGTGGCTTCGCCCAGACAAAAGGCAATCCGAGGACCAGGGACCTGTCTCGGACAAGCGCCAGAAAGATGATGCCAATCGCTCCAGACGTCAATGGGATGATCGTCCATGGTGGCAATCCTCCGACTGGGCCTCTTCGTCGTCCAGCTCCTGGCGATGGCAGGACCAATCATGGTAGGCAGCCAGGGGCCTTGGGCCAGGTGACACCGCTTTTCATTCTTACGCAGGTGGCTCGGCCAAACTTTTCTAGCCACTCTGCCGCTTTTTCCATTCTGTGGAGTTTTGCATGCACCAACTGAGCCCGTCCTGCTCAAAGCAAAGAAGTCTCCGAGCCATTGCCAATCGCGGCCAGTTTCAGCGCACTAGCAAGCAGCAAGCAATGCTGCCCTGCCGTGAGGTACCAACCTTTCTGAGCGCCACTAGTAGCTAGCTAGTGTAGGCAAAGCTGTCTTGAACTAGCACAGGTTTCACAGAGACTGTGCTAAGGCGGCAAATGCCCGCTACGTGCTGAGTCCGCTCGCAGTGCGTCCAATTGCAAATTGTTGCTGTTGTTGTTGTTGTTGTGAAAAGAATTTTCAAAAGCAAAGAACAACGGTCGGGAGTCACAGATGACAGGTGCTGGTTCGACAGTATGTACATATTTTTTTATATATGTATATATATATATATACACGGAAGAGCAGAGAACCATGCTCAGATGAGCACAAACGAAAAGGCACAGGTTAACACAATCCATGTGTCTTCGAGCCAGGACACCGGAACCAAGATGTACAGGAGAAGGGGAATGCAGGCGCTGCATAGGAAAAGGCATTGAAAAGACACAGATGCGCAAAGTTCCACGACAGGTTGTTGAATGTCGTTGAGGTTGTTATGCAGTGACAGTTGAAGATTGAAGGCTCCTACGCGCATGCACTGCCTGGAACCTATTACCTTGCACACACACACTCCTATGCGCATGCCCTTGCAAAACAGTCCTGCGCACATGCCCTGGCAAAACAGTTCTACACACATGCCCTGGCAAACTGTTCACATGCTCAACTGCAGACCTAAATGCATACTCCACTGCAGACCTCAGCACATGCATGGCATCACTCTCTACCTCACTTGCAGCACACACCGCTTGCACATGCAAACCTTGCACTTGAACAACCTGCCACCCTTCCAAACTCCGAAAAGAAACCCTGTCCCTTCCAAAGAAACACACGGGGCTCCCTCGATATACGACTTTTGCGACGGTGCGCGACCACTGCCGTCGTACCTTATAGCGACGCCGCTTCTTTACTGTGGCGGCCGATAGAAAATTTGGGAAGGTGGCGGAGTCGGCTGCAAAATAGTTCCCGGCGGTGGCACCCAAGTTCCTCCATGAGGTTGCTGCTGAACTCCAGGCGGTTGTTGGTATACCACTCCACCAAGCGGCGGCTGCACTCCACTCTGCTGAAAAACCATTCCACCAAGCGGCTGCTGCACTCCAGGCGGTGGTTGGAAAACAAATCCCGGCGAAGGTTGATACAGTACTCCACTCGGTGGCGGCGGCTGCTGAACCATAACTCCGGGTTGCTGGAACATAACTCCACTCGGCATCACCACCATAGGTGGAGGTGGTGGTGGGGGACCCGGTGGTCCCGACATCGGTGGTCCCGACATCTTTGCTCGAACACCGGGCACCATGGGCGCCGCAGGGCGAATAGCCGGTGGAGGCGGCGGCACAGGTGCTGCATCCTTGACCTTCGGCGAAGGAAGCCTTCTCTTGGGCACAATTGGTGCCGGATCCACGGGCGCAGCCATCCCACTCTTCTTTGTGGGTCTTGGTGTCTTGGCTCGTGCTGAGGGCTTGGCTGGAGCGCGGGCTCCAGCCGCTTCCACCCTTTTTCGCACACACCTTGGCTTGCTGCGGAACCTCGGCGGCCGGCTGAACCACGGCTGCTTCTGGAACCACAGTTCTTGCGGACCCTCGGCTGGAACCACAGCTGTTTGCGGACCCTCGGTTGCTTGCGGATCCTCGGCTTCCCCTTTGTACCATGATGGCGCTGGCGTCTCCGGAACTTCCTGGGCCAACACTGACATAAGCGGACCTGGCACAGGCGGAGTTATTGGTGTAAGTGGGGGTTGATTGGCTGCCCTCACTTTCGTTCTGGGAACCATATAGGGTTGAGGACCCTTCTTCTGCGCCGCTTTCGGCGTCTCCGGTTCTTCCACCGAATCCATCGGCGGCTCGAGGTCTTCCACAGGATCCACCAGAACATCCACGGCGGGAGAACGCGAGCTTTCTCCCCCTTGTTCCACATCCGCGCCGGAGCTGGATGCGGCTCCTCCAGTTGAAGTAATCAGGGCCAAAACCTTGGCACGCAAACTCTCCAGACGTTCGGCGGGAGATTGGGCATCCTCGTCTGAAGAAATAGTTTCCACAGTTGCTGAAGCATCTTGCTCGGCTTGTTCGTCTTCGGCAACCTCCCGTTCCAACTTCTTCATGCCCTTGAAGGCTAATTCTAGCCTGGTCACTTCTTCGATACTCTCCGCTGCGGATACTTTCTGACGCCAATAGCTCGTCACTCCCGAGCATTCGCTTTCGCTGTGCATCGCAGCTTGCGATACCTCGATACTGGCACCAGACTCCCGAGCAGCGGCTGCTTCCTCTCTCACACGCGCTTTTGCTTCGGCAATCAAAACCATACGTCTTGCCATCGCCGAAGACCGCAGGATTGCTAAGGTATCCATATGCCCACGCATAACCTCGTCTTGAAGAACCGCTTCTTGCTCCTGTGGCCTTTTCCGATCCTCGCCCATCTCGGGAGGCGACTCTCCCTCTGCTGCTCGTTTTCGTTCTTGAGGCCCTTTTGCACTGCCTGTGCCCTTGGACCCTTTTGCACTGTCCTCGCCTTTGGACCCTTTTGCACTGCCTCTGCCTTTGGATCCTTTTGCACCACCTTTCTTTGGAAACTGACCGGGCCTTTGCCACACGTGCAGCAAACGCG